GAGGAAGCTTGCTGTGATCTCTCACTCCTCCAATTCATGTTTTCTCTACAAACCACCCCCAAACCCCAAACTGACAGACACTGAACAGTGTTGTCAGCGCTATCAAACAAGAAAGTCTGTGTGGCCAATGACTGCCTGGAGCTTGGAGTAGCAGTAAATTCTGGCATTGGCACACCTCATTTCTTAGAAACCCTTCAAAGCACTCAGGACTATCCAAACCTAGGACATTTGTTGCCTGATGTTCTAATATTCCTGCAAAAGGTTGATACCAGATCCTTGGGACCAGATACTGGTCCAAAATGCCATTGGAGCCTTTAAAGAATGATGAACATCCTGATTCAGTTATGACTTGCAAGTATTCCAATCCTAAATCCTATTCTTTGGCGAAGGATGCCCTAAGTCACAGCTTAAGAGAGAAGATATAAGAGATGAGTGAAACACTAAGAGGTGAGAGCAGGAAAGGGAAGTAAATGAAGGCAGGGCAATAAATAATACAGAGCACTCATCCCTTGGAACATCTTTGCAGCAAAACCCACCAAAATCTGCCTGCCTGAGTGGCATTCCGTGTTGAGGGATGGTACAGAGGAGGATGCCAGTGAAAACAGAAGCATTGCTACATTTTGAAGAGACTTGGGAGGGAGAAAGGTTTCAGCAACAAGGTCAGAATGGAGAAGGATAATCCCTGCAGTAAATCAATACACAAACTACATCCTGAATAAACTGGGCTGAGCACAGACTAACAACGTTCAGTCCTGGTGAGTCTTGGCAAGAAAGGAGGCAAAACATAGACAATTTTACTTACGTTAAGGGTGGAATCACGTTTGAGACACTCAAATTTAGTTCTCTCTGTATGTGCTTGGTGTTGATGCTCCCACCACAGCCTGAAGGAGCACAGGGAGTGCTCTGGCTGCCCTTGGGTCAGCCAAATCACTCTCCACGCTCCCTTTGCTGCCGAAGTTAAAAGGAGCTATTCCTTACTCTAAGCATCATAGAATGTTAAGGGGTTGGAATGGACCTTACAGATCATCTAGTCCTAATCCCTTGCCCTGGGCAAGGACACCTCCCATCATATCAGGTTGCTCAAGGCTTCATCCAACCTAACTTTGAACACTGCCAAGTTTGGGGTACCCACAGCCTCCCTGGGCAACCTGTGCCAGTGTCTCATCACCCTCACAGTAAAGAATACCTTCCTAATACCTAATCTAAATTTCCCTGTTTCGATTTATAACCATTACTCCTTGTTCTATCACTACAGTTCCTAACAAAAGTAGAGGAGACAAAGCAGTCTGAGGGTGAACAGAAGTGCATTTGGATGCTAAAACAGAACAATAGGACAGAAAATTCCTGACAGCAGATGAGCACATAAAATTCTTAATGCCACCCTCATATTTCATGCATTATTCTGTATTACCGCCTTGATACCTTCAACATGTCATTTTCCAGAGGCAAGACAGAAAGGTTTCCTATCCCTATTTCCTAATGTCATTCACCTCATCCTAAGTCTCCTGTAAAAGCTGCCTTTTTATTTCCATTGTCACTCTTTACAATGTCTGAAGATAGTTAAATGTGGTGAGGGAATAAACACACAATTTACAATCCCATCTCCCTCATGCCTGATATGACACAAACAGTTCCCATTTTCACTTCAGGTCAAGTTTTACACTCTGCTTCTGCTCAGTGCTTCAAACTGCACATTGGGTACGCTGTGTTTGCACACCCAACAGACTCTTTAGCCAGGAGACTGAGGAGCATCAGCACAGACATGTACAAGCAGCTGGTCAAAGAGGATAAGCTGCAGAAATGAAAAGAAAAAAAAGCCAGGAGAATCTTATACATTTCACAAGATCCTGATATAATTCTGGATTTGCAGCTCTCTGCTTTCTCAGTAAGGAGCAATGCAAATTGGGTTTCAACTGACTGCTGGTGCTCTATTCCATTAACCTGATACACCAAGCACAGCTGTAAGACTTCCTCCAGCACATTTTCCAAGCAATCCTGTCGGAATAATTTTGACTACTAAACCTTTCACCACACTCCCTGTTCTGTCCTGTACATATCTCAGAATAAGCCTCAGCTATCAGCTTCTCTGCACTGCAATAACAAGTTGAGCACTTGCAATGCTTCTACTGTGAGCAGGAGTGATGGAGAGCTGGGAATTACCTGCAGATTGCAGCATATTTTACTTACTTTTGGGTTAAGATTAGAGAACAAGCACAGAGTTACTACAGCACAACCCATGGGAGACAGGAGATTGTAACTTGACTACTGCTAAAAATACAGCCCAAACCAGAGAAAGATCTTTCTCCTTGGCTGTGGAATATGGAATCATGGAATAGGCTGGGTTGGAAGGGACCTTAAAGACCACTGAGTTCCAAACCTGGCCATGGGCAGGGACATCCTCCACTAGATCAGGTTGCTCCAAGCTCCATCTAGCCTGACCTTGAACACTTCCAGGGACGGGGCAGCCACAGCTTCTCTGGGCAACCTGTGTCAGTGCCTCAGCACACTCACAGGGAAGAGTTCTTTCCCAATATCCCATCTATCCCTGAACTCTGGCAGTGGGAAGCCATTCCCCCTTGCCCTATCACTCCAGGGCCTTGTCCAAAGTCCCTCTCCAGCTCTCTTGGAGCCCCTTTAGGCACTGGAAGGTGCTAGAAGGTCTCCCTGAAGCCTTCTCTTCTCCAGGCTGAACACCCCCAGCTCTCCCAGCCTGGCTTCACAGCACTCAAGACCATCTCATTCCAAACCTCCTGCCATGGCCAGGGATACCTTTCGCTAGACCAGGTTGCTCCAAGCCCTGTCCAACCTGTCCTTGAACACTTTCAGGAGTGGGAATTAATCATTATTTTTAATTCCTAAAGGGCCTTGCTAGGGTTAATTGAGAATCCTGATTAAAAAAAAAACAAACCAGGAAGCTATAAAATTACCACAGATAACACCAAAAAGTCCAAGAATTTTTGGGCAGACTTTTGTTTCTAGAGAGTTTTTATTAATATATCTAATCATGGCATGGCAAAGATTTAAAACTGTTGCCTCAAGATTTCGAGGTACTTCTAACAGAAGAGGAATGGAATAGCAGAGATCTAGGAACTACAAGATAGAGTCACTAGATAAAGAGAAGGAGCAAGACAAATAACAGCACAGGACAGGAATTTGCCAGGGAAACACCTCCCTGATGAACTTCCTGTCAAATAGCTACACATGTAAATTGAATTTAGACTAAAACAGGCCAATATGTTGCCAATACTCCAGGTCTTTTCCTTAAAACATGCATCAGACTGAAAGTAACTTAATTTATAGAGACATTTCTCACTTAGGCCACTGCTCAAGTATTTCAACTGAGCTCCAATGCACTGTATTTACTTCTCACTCTATATTCCTTATCCATTCCCAGATAACACTTAACCTCAGGAGCCACAGGGAATGTTATGCTGACTCCAGCTTAGTTTCTTGCCAAGAAAGTGAGCAGGAAAAAAACAGCAGCCCTAGTAAAAATTTATCTACCTTCAGAGAATACAGCAAACCTCAAAGCCTTCCATCATTTCAAAGATTAAGGGTTATCTGTTTGCAAAGCAATGATTACATTATTCAGTAATAGCTCTAGTAAGAGCAAGACCATCTGAAGCAGAAAGAGGAAGAAGAGAAGAGTTATCAGCCACGATCCTGCTTTATTACAAGTGAGGAGATCCTCAGATGGAATAAATTTGGATTATTCACACCACTGCACTGCAAAGTACAACCAGATAGAGATTTCTGGAGATATGCAGGGAATGGACATTTGCAAAGAATTCCAGCACATAAAAATTAATCCTCCAAATCCTCTTGATCATCTACGATGTGGGAATAAAACACTCCTGAAGAAAGCAGCTACATGGCTGGGTGCCTGCAGCTGGCAAGAGCTTCAGCCCAGCAGGACAGCTAGGAGGGAAACCTATGGCAATGGGCAGATTTCACCTGCAAATCCCAAAGCAGGCGAGAAACACACCTCATTCCTTAGCGAATCTGGCTCCTGGTGATAGAATCATAGAAGGTTAAGGGGTTGGAAGGGACGTTAAAGAGCATCTAGTCCCAACCATCTGATGACATACAGACACACATATAGAAAGTGTACAAGGACTCACTTGAATAACCTTTGGATTCTCTCATTTTGCATAGAAATAAATAGATTAACACAAGGCAAAACTCCTATAAACTTCCAGGTGCAGCCCAGTCCAACTTCTGATATATTTGGGTATTATACAGGGCTTTTCTTCCACGCTTTTAGCACTTAGCACAGCAAAGAAATCCCAGGACTGCATGGTCACCTGTCTTGTGGCACACAGGACATCTCTACAAACACAGCTCTGCATACCACAACATGCTGGTCACCCTCCCTCTGTCACACTGTCGTTTGGGTGGAAATCAGCTCCAACTGAGAAGCAGGAGAAGGGAAGCTGGGATGGACTGTGGGGAGGTGAAGAGAAGAAACTTCTGGCAATAAATTTGCCTTTTTAAGTAGTAAACTGCAGCTTTCCAAATCCTGGGTGGCTTCTCCCACTTTCCTCTTAGGCTCTTAATGTTCTGGGGGGGATGGAAATCCAGACACCCAAAATATTTAGGTAAGGTTTCATTTGCAAATGGGGATTTGACTTCTTTTTTTAACATATTAAAACTGCAGCTAATGTTACTATTTTCTGTTTCCTGTTTTGAAACAGATGCAAAGAATCTCCTAATTTGTGTGGGTTTGTATTTATGCTGTCTAGAAACATGAGTTCTGGGAATTCAGGACATTCACCCCTATTTTTTTGGTGCTTCACAGAAACTGCAGCATCAGGAGACTAAAATAACATCATTTGTCACTGAAACTGTAATCAAAAATACACTAAAGCCTTAAACAGCAGCATTTATAGATTAGTGGAGCTTAGCCTTAGCTAAAGGTTAATGCGATGCATATGTGAATAAATATTAGAGAAAACAACTATGAAAAAGTCATTTAAGGAAGAGCATGTTGTCATTCCAACCTCTCTCCGTCGCGATGCCCAGCAACTCTGCTTAATCTTCCAAACCACAGCTGCCACCAGGAGCAAGGACAGGAAACAACTGGAAAGGGGAAAAAAGAGAAGAATATTTTATTGTTCTCCATCAGAATTCTACAGCAAAACTGTAGGAAATGAAAAATGAGATGAAAATTCATGTAACAGTTAGAGATGCACTGATGAAAGAGAATCCAGCACTGCTCAGTGCTCATGATATCTAGTGAGGAACAACACAACTATTTTCAGGGAAAACTGTTCTTCCAGAGTTCCCCATTTGATCTCTTTATAGGACATCCCCCAGTTTTCCCCAGGAAATCACAACTGTAAGGCTGAAAGATTAATCAGATTGGAAAAGCCATGATTACCTGTCTCTGGAGATATTTAAACTGAGAAGATAATCCCCCCCAAAAAAAAAACCTTGAAAGCAGCAGAGAAAATTGATCATTATTCTTTCCCAAATGACAAAAAATAGATAGACTGTTGAATTCTTTTAAATTGTTGCAGAAGTACAAGTATTTCTTGATTTCCCCAAATCCATGTTGCTTTGCTTCAGCTGAAGAGGAGAAATGGATGACTAGATTTATCAAGTTGCAGAGAAAATGCAAGGAAGCAGATTTAACAAAACACAGTTACAATAATAATACTAAAAGCCAATTTTTTTGGCAGTTATGATCTTCTCACACTGAATACCTAACAAGCAATTCAAGGCACAGAAGCCAAGATTCAAATCTCAACCCCAGTGGAGCTTCTCTGCTCAAGGACTGCACTGATGGGCAATGGAAAATGTCTTCAAACCTCCTTCCTATGTTCCAGCAGATATTTAAAGACAGTTTAAAGGAAAGTTTCCATTTAAAGGAAGATTAAGCAGAACAGATGACTTACTTCCTCAAGTGCAGTATTTACACAGACCTCTGGGTGCCAGAACAGAGATTTCTCTTCAAGAGAGACCTGGTGAAGTACTGCAAAGACCTTCTCACTCTCTACAACTCCCTGACAGGTTGAAGCCAGGTTGGGGTCAAGCTCTGCTCCCAGGGAACAAGTGACAGGGCAAGAGGAAACAGCCTCAAGCTGTGCCAGGGGAGGTTTAGGTTGGATATTAGGGAAAATTTCTTCATGGAAAGGGTTGTTCAGTCCTGGCACAGGCTGCCCAGAGCAGTGGTGGAGTCACCATCCCCGGAGGGAGTTTAAAGCCCTGTGAATACAGCACTTGGGGACGTGGTTAGTGATGGCCTTGGCAGTGCTGGGAGAATGGTTGGACTTCATGGTGTTAGAGGACTTTTCCAATCCAAATGATTCTTTGATGCTGTAACTTGGAAATATTTGTAACTAAACACCAGGATAGACAGCAGGAACCATTCCCTGAGATGTAAAGCAGAGGAGACTGTCCCTGAGTACATATTGACTACACAGCCTACAAATTGTGAAAGCTCTGTAGATCTGTGGATCAGGCACCAAACACCCAAGGGGTAGCTGGTGACAGGATTACATTTTTCAGGCTTAGATATGCACAGAAATATGTTTTACTATCATATAGAATAGGATATTAAAAATTGGCATTTGTATGGCACTGGCACAGGTTGCCCAGAGAAGCTATGGATATCTCATTCCTGGGAAGTGCTCAAGGCCATGTTGGATGGGGCTTGGAGCAACTTGTTCTAGTGGAAGGTGTCCCTGCCCATGGGGTGGTGGAACTAGATGGCCTTTAAGGTCTCTTCCAGCCCAAACTATTCCATGTTCTACGATTTTAGATGCAGTTTATGTGCAGCAGCTACTGCTGTGGCTTATCCAAGTCATCACCCCAATACCCCTTCACTGGAGGAAAGGAGATGGAAGTCCAACAGGCAGAGAAAAAAGGCTTCATCAATCTCACAGAATTACGGAATCATTAAGGTTGGACAAGACCTCTAACATCATGGGGCCCAACCATTCACCCAGCACTGCCACAGCCACACTAAACCATGCCCCCAAGTTCCGCATGTACACGGTGTCTCCCTCCATGTCCACTGACTCCCTCAAAGAAACCTGGAGTGGGGAACAAATAGGATCACCTTTATCTTTAGACTAAATTTCCTTTCCAAAAAGCAACACTGAACAAGTCTGTATGAGCCAGAGCCTTTCTCTGGTTTCTCTTTCCTGCCTCACTTCTGGCATCACAGCCAAGACTTTCTGGTGAAAGCAGAGAGGAATTAACAATTAAAGTCTAACAAGAACTCCTCCTAAGACGCTCAGCACAGCACCCTGTATTTCAGGGGAACAGCACTATACATCTTTGTACTGTCACAAGGAGGCAGCAAATAGCCACAAAAGCTGTAAAACCACTAAGGAAATATATTTTCCCCCTTGCACTAACTCCCCTTGGAAGCACTCGTGGAGAAATAAAAGGCAGAGCCTGCTGCAGTCCATCACCTGCTGGAAGAACCCTGGGGGCAGAGCGAAGTCAAGATCTATCTGTTGGGTTTACTCAGCCTAAACCACCCTGAAATAAGTTTAAAAGATCTGATGTGAGCATCAGGAGCTTTAAAGCAGCTTTTTTTCCCATACTTTCCCTTGGAAAGCAACTGTGTTACGATAGAAGCAGTGGAAAGAAGCAGCTGCATGGAGTGAGAGCTGTGTTGGAAAAGGATTTGGAGAGAAAGCTAATGGTTGGCAGAGTCCTGGTCAAACACAGTGCTCTGACTTGCTTTCTCCTCAACAGCCTCAGGGATATCCCTGCCAGCCATGAAAATCCACCCATTTCCAAATGGCTTTAAAAAAAAATATCTTTCACTGCAGGACTTGCTTTACCTTGTCCTCTTTTTTTCTCCTCCAAAAATAACGGCCTACCAAGAGCCTCCTTGAATCCTAAAAGCCAATGTTCATTGAAGGCTTCTCTCTATGGCTCACCTCAACCTCAAATGCCTCTGGGGAGACCTTCTAGCACTTTCCAATACCTAAAGGGACTCCAAGAGAGCTGCAGAGAGACTTTGGACTAGGGACTGGAGGGACAGCACAAGGGGGAATGGCTTCACGCTGCCAGAGGGCAGGGATAGATGGGGTACTGGGATGAAATTCTTCCCTGTGAGGGTCGTGAGGCCCTGGCACAGCTTGCCCAGAGAAGCTGTGGCTGCCCTATCCCTGGAAGTGTTCAAGACCAGGTTGGATGGGGCTTGGAGCAACCTGCGCTCATGGAAGGTGTCCCTGCCCATGGCAGGGGGTGGAAGTAGACAGACTTTGAGATCCCTTCCAACCCAAACCATTCTGGGCTTCAGTTGCAGTATTTCCACTTTCCTATGGCCTGTGACAAGTCCAGTTTGTGACTAGTTCAATTATTCCCACAGAAATAGAAGAAGATCGCAAGCCGGTGTGAAACCAGACTAGAAGGAAAAAGAGCCATGTTGAAACATCTAACACCCCTGGAAAATTTTTCATCCCAGAGCAATTTGAACATGACTCTGTTTGGGTCAGGTTCTACCAAGCAGAGCTTCCACTGGCCTATACAGTCATAAAAAATTAAGCTTAAGCAGCATAAATATTGCAATGCAGGAGGAGACACATTTACATTTTATGGACAATATTCTATTTGAGAAATAGCTTCATTAACTCATTCTTAATTATTCATTAGATTATTTAAGTGCAACAAACGAGCAACATGGCTGTAAATAATCACCCCTCAGTTGGCCTCGACATATGCATTAACGTTACTTGATCAGCCTTTAGTGCTCATTATTCCACAGAGTATTTCCACCCTGACACAAGAATCTGAACTTAAACACCCTGTCTGGTTTTATTCTGGACTTTAATCTCCTCTTCATAGCAGAGAGGATATTCTCTCCACTCCAGATATCCTTAAAGCTCTTCAAACAAGTCCACTTGCATTTTTAAATGTCTGGAAAACTTCATCAGCGCTTTGCTATGATACATCCTCATGAGGAGAGGAGAAAATCCATCTGGTACATTAGGGCCCAATTATTAAACTCTCCTGCAATGTTTATCAACATCAGAATTGCTAGTAAAAAATGGCAGTTTTAAACACCAAAATGTACAGCAGCCTCACTGCTAATGTGCCTTAACATATACAGGTCACTTAATAATGCCAGAAAGCACTGCTATGATTACTAGAAACACAGCCCAAATTATTTTGATGAATTGGAAGCTATTTAAGTGCTATTTACAAGTAAATTTTAATATGCTGGAGAGTTACAGGACACATTTGAAAGTTCTCCATGCATTAAACCTTGAAAAAATTGGAACAAGTACAGAACACAGAAGGAAAACATGGTTTGCAGGGTTGGGCTTTGCCAAACAGCTGCCTGTGGCCCACACAAACTGAGCTGACCT